CAGTTTGCTCTTGCATCCTAACCAGGCTCTGGTTTTTTCAGACTACATTTTTGCATGGTGCTGAATCCTGTAATAGTGGTTCTTACTTGGACTCTGCCATGTTCATGTCTACCCTTGCTCTCTGTTGTGCTGCTAGGTGATTGGTGCAGGTGTCTGTTTCATTATCCAAAGTCTCTGGCTTTTTCCAAGTCCACCTGGCCACTCTTGAACTTTAGCATTCTCCCTCAGCCACCAATCTTGATAAATAGCTGCTCTCCACTTGTTTTGATTCTGTCTTATGGAGAAGAGGTAAATGCTGGGTGCCTCTACTCCACCATCTTGGGTCACCTCCTTATAGAGATTCACTAGATTCTATGTAAGAAACCATTAACAATAACTTAGGACTGGTTTCCTATGGGAAAATGAACTTTCAAGAAAGGTTTTATGTAGCAAACCCTTCAGTTGGTCAGAAAGGAAGAACATTTGGAGAGTAAAAAAATATTCAAATAGAAAATAAGACCGTTTCTTAGGATCAGTGTTAAGAGAAATGTTTGTCTAGATGGAGTGAAGTGTAAGCTTCAGCTAGAATTAGGTATGTTGCCTCATTAGTAGATATCCTTCATCCTCTGAAAGCTAGAATTATGAGATTTGATTCAGAGGCAGTTGGTGGCTGGTATAAGCATCTTCATTCTAATGAATACAGGTTCCTATGAACCACTGAAGTGATGCTGGGAAAAAGTTATCCTTGTAGATTTGAATATATTAGGAGGAACTAAGAATGACAGCTCTTAGATTTGGGTTAAGATGGCCATGTTTAAAAACTCAATGGGGACATGAAAGTATTGAGGAGCGCTGTCTTAGGTCTAGCTCATGTTTCTAATCATGAATGTTATGTGGTCCCATTTTGAAGATTTCCTTCACTTTAGTATGTAGGAAGGCAGATGGTTATATAAGTACAAATTTAGGGATTAGCAGGGCAGTTGTGGACCATGGATAAGAGTATAAGAACACTGAGGATTGCCACGAGTAAGTATAAAATCTTAACACTCTATATTCCTGGTTGAATAGGAAGGAAAGTCAAATGGGTAATGGTGAACAGTAAATCACAAAGTACAGTGAAAATGGAGAAGTTGAGGGACTAGTTGTCTATAATAGCTTGAAGATTAGGTGAAGGGAAGGTTAAGAAAGTGAGATTTGAAAAGGATGAAGTCTGTGTTCAGAGATTAAAATTATGTGCCTCCAATTTAAAATAAGAGAGGCACATTGGTTCCCAGAAATGACAAGGTCCAGAGTATGACTGTACAGATGTATTGTAATGGGAAACGTGGATGAGGGATATGGGGACTTTAGGAATTTTGAGGTGACTTGTTAATAGTTTATCCTTATGAACAGTAAATTTCCTGTGATCATGGCAGCTTTGAAGTAGAATGAAATAACAGGGAAAGTGAACCAAATGAAAAAATTCTGAATGAATGAAGAGGAGTGATTAAAAGGAGGTGAGTAGTAACAGGAGATTGTATATTGAAAAGCCATGATCCTCAGAGAAAGAAGACTTTTTTATATGGAGATGGAAAAGTAACATACTATTAAAGAAAGCGAATTGAGCTGGGAATCTGCTGGTTTCATTTTGGGCTTCATTAGATATGGGAAAAGAAGAGTGTCCTCTGTTGAAGGCTGCAGATATGTGGATTCCTGGGTGATGTTAGTTGAGGCAGAGAACTAGAGGGTAGAATTTTAAATGGTGGAATTAGATTTTACTATAAAAATTAGGAAGACAGTAGTTGAAGGAAGATTGGGGCAGAGAAAGTGAGTGGATGAAGCACAATAATGTGATGAACACATCAGACAGTGAATTGACCAGAAAGTCTGACCTGTTGAAAAGAAGCTCAGGATGAAAAGGATAAACAAAATGTTTGGGTTGATTGTAATTAAGTTCGGGGGCCTAGGAAATCTGAGAAGCGGCATTTATAGACAAAATCTGTGGAAGTATAAAAGATTGGGAGTTTAGTTCCAGCTGTAAGGACTTGGAGAAGACTTCATGGAAAAAGCTAGATTTTTAACTGAGTCATAAGGGGTAGGTAGTATGTTAATAAATAGACTGGTATAAAGGAGCCATCTGTTTTGGAATGGCATGAGGAATAACATGAATTTTTAGAAATACAGAACTGGTTTATGGAACAGTTCATAAAAGGTAAACAGAACTTGACCTCAAGATGAGCGGGGAGAAATGGAAAAAGTTATGGAAATATAGGATGTTTAATATCAGCAGCTGTGATTATCAGAAGCATGTATCAGTCACTGTGACAAAAAAATAACTACTTAAGGTAGAGCTCTGCATTCTAGTGTGCTTGTGGCCACATTCAGTCAGAGTAGTACTAAAGGCAATAAATACTTAATGTTTGTGACAGGAAAACTTTTAGTAGGTGTGCTGGTATGTGACTGTGTGTTTCTGCCACAATTCCAAGGATAGTACTATGATATATTCCCACCCTCAGTCTCCTCCAGCTCCTCATTGTTTGCCTGGAGTTTAAAATCTTTTGTAGAATGGTTATATTGAATTCTACATCAGTGCTTAATCAAACATAAATGATAGATTATTATATCTACCTGTGTTTATGCATATCTGAAAAGATAAATTAACCCATAAAGTCTGTTTGTCACCTGCCGATTTCTTTGAAATTGCAAAGTTTTAGTTGTAGTACATGGTTTTGTTATTTTATTTCTTTTAGATTTATTTACTTTGTATTTTGACTCTGAAAAGTCATTTGGTTTCTTGGTGCTACATGCTGCAATGTTCTGTCAATATTATTTTTGTAAATAGTACACTACCTATGATTTAAATTGTTTTCTCTTTACATTTTCTCCTGTTCTGGGAAGATCATGTGCATAGAAAGTAGTAGTATAATTTTGAACTTTCCCAAAATAGACATTATGAGGTGATGATTGCTTTATTAGTTAGAATTTTGTGGAATAGAAAACTCTTACAATTGCGTTTGTGTGGAATAGAAAACTCTTACAATGATTTAAAAAATTGAATTTCATTTGTTTTATATAACAAAAGCTGAGAGTTTTGATATGGATGTAGCTGCTCAATGATTCCATAAGCCTGTGCTCACCCTGCTGTTCAGCTTCTTGTCCTTAGCATGCCAGCAAGTTACTCATGTTTTCATGGTAGTTACTGTATAACCAAGCTTTACATTATTTCATGCTAGAGAAAGCAGTAAGAGGTAAGGACTGTCTTGCCATTCCTTTTCTTTACTAAGGAAATTATAGGTTTCCTTAACCCTCCATAGATTTCCTGTTAAATATCATTGACCAAAATTGTGTCTCATGACTTTCCCAGGGGAGACAAATCAAGCCTGTTATCTTGAGCTGTGCACAAGATTAGGGAGAAAAAGGGAACCTATGTGGAATAGGAAGCTAACAACATCTGTCAAACCTGGTGCCTTAGGTTTGATTATTTCATCTGTTGTATTAATACATTTGACATTTAGTTAGAAATTAGCTAAAATAAAAAGAAATGATTCATTCTCAGCTTATCAGTTTTTCTTTTCTACATTCTAAAACTAGATAGTACAATTTCTGATGACTTATATAATATTTAAGGTTCTTGGACATAAATAAGTATATCATACTTGAAAATGATAAATAAAGGAATTTTTATGTTTGAAAAAAACCTGATCAATGTTCCCACTAAAATGCCATTTTCATCCATTTAAATGAAGTGACAGTTTTCTTTTGGAAAAGATGATTTTCACATTGTATAAATAATTTGATTATTATAGATAGTTTATAATGGACAAGTTTATTTTAAAACTAAATCATGATTCTTCAATATGACCGATCAACCTCAACATAGGAAGTATTTTAAAAAAAAATCTATAATGAAAAAGATTGGCTTTTTGTTTGGGGAAGACTTCTAATATTTTGGGAATTGAACTCTAACAAATATTTTTTAATGTGAACTTTAATCCTTAATTCAGAATGTCTGAGTTTTTTCCATCATTGATTTTTCTTTCCTTAAATAATTTTATCTTTTACTGAGAAAAGGAAATGATAGTAATCATTCAGTTTTTTGCATATTATCATTTTTTAAAAATTTACCAGATCTAATAAATGGTAACAGTATATACAGATATCAAAGGAGATTTAGTGGAAAATAAAAATATAGAAAGACTTAACAATTGCCCTTGGGGCACTTAAAATTTAGTTGTTGAGAAAAGAAATGTGTATACTTGGAATCAATACAATAAATGGTCATATGTGATCAAGTATCAAAAGTTCTAGAAGAATTTAAGAAAACGACTGTACAATATGATTACTTAAAATGATGGGAAAAGATGGCAGGCTTGTTAAAAGTATAGGGTATAATGTGATGGGATGGTACAAGATAACAAAGGCTCATTTTTTTTATCATCATGCTTTCCTATTCATCCAGCCTTTTTGAACTATTTATATGTCTCAAATGTTCTGTGCCCTTTGATACTTCCATACCTAGCAGTATTTATTGTTTGCAGAATTCTCTTACTTGTTTTTAATCCTGACAGTTTCCTGTCTTTTAAGACTGTTTACATATCTTTTCTTTCTTCTGTGAAGTCTTCCCTGAATTTTCTGGCCAGAGTTAGGGCTTTTTTTTTTTTTTTTTTAAAATCTAATATCCACATTTGGAGCATGTTTCTGTGTGTGTTTAGAGCCATTATCACATTTTATCATTTATTTACTTGTTTGTGCTACATACTCACAAGGTTTGGGAACATGAGGACTTTACCTGGTATAGTGATTTTGCATATGGGAGCACTTAATGAATGTGAGTACTGGGAAAGTCTGCCCAGAGGGAACTTGGGTGGTAAGAATAATTAACTTTGAGAATAGAGTTTATAATTTATCTGCATTTGGATATAAAAATGAATAAAAAAGTAGAATTTGTTGGAATTGGAATTGGAATAATTGTCAATAAACTATCTAAAATTGGTCTTTTAAAGCTCCCCATTTTGAAACATACTTTTTTTTTTTTTTTTTAGTGCCTCCACTTCTCATTCAGAGAATTCAGTGCATACAAAATCAGCTTCTGTTGTGTCATCAGATTCCATTTCAACTTCTGCAGAGAACTTTTCTCCTGATTTGAGGGTATGTATGCCATTTTAAAGTTCTAATGAAGGACTTTATGTTAGTTGCTTGTTGCCAACATTAACAATAAAATTTTAATTAAGCAGGAGAAACTAGTGGAGTGTTCTAAAACACCTCAATCTTTACAAAATATCCCAGACCAGGTCAGCATGTTATTTGTAAAAGAAAAAAATGTGTAATTTATTCTTAAAAGGCTGATTCTTTTAAGTTCTTTGCCAAAAGATAACTGATGGATTTCTTTGTGGTATAAAAAATTTTCATGATTACTCTTAAAGTTATGGCCAGTAATAACTAAGTACTACTTTATTGATTACTTATTGTGTGCACAACATTGTTCCATATGCTGTACATAAATTATCTCATTACCCCTACTAATTTTATTATACATATGATAATTCATAGAGAGATTGAGTAATATGTTCAAGTTATCTTTCCTAATAAATTATTTTACCAGTGTTCCAGCCCATGCAGTCTAATTGTGGAGCTATGTCACCTAAATACTATTTAATAGTATAGCAATTTGTACATTTATGAATTCATCTATTTTTCTATAACCACTTGCTTATGATTAATGGAGAAAATGAATTTCATGTGTGGTTTTAACTCCTGACCTTTACTTCAGATTTTAAACAATAAACATTTATTTTTATGGTTCTGGAAGTTGGGAAGTCCAAGATCAAGTATTGGCAGATCCAGTGTTTGGTGAGGGTATGCTTCCTGATTTATCTTTTCTTTGTATCCTCACATGGTAGAGAACACCTTTATTCCAATCAAATGATTTCTTTTTTAGTGTTATACGATTTTAAGTAAGATATTAGTTATTTTCATGAATGGAATCATTTGCTATTGAGCATATATTGAGAATATCTTTTTCATTTTCACAACAATTTTAAAGACTTCTACATATTTGTTATTTCCTTTTGTGAAATTTCATAAAACACTGGGTGTTAAACATTATTAAAAATTATAAGGTATTATTTTATCTTCATAATCTGGATATGTGTTCTGCTAATTATGATGGCTTCATTATATCATTAGCTATTATCTTGAAACATGACTTAGAATTAGGGAAGGGTTCATTGTTAATAGTGAATATGAATTCATTGTTGCCTCTCCTTAACTTGATACTACTTAAAAATATATATTTTATGTATATATTTAATTTCTGCTTATTTGCTACATTAAGAAAAATCCCACAAAGGCTTTATTGGTTTCTTGATAATTTTGAAAAATTTTGTCCTACTTCTGATTAACGTTTTACATTAGTATGGTACATATGTCACACATAGTAAGCTCATATTGACACACTGTTATTAACTAAAGTTCATAATTTTTTAGATTTTTTTTTAAACTAGATTTGTCTTTCGTTGTAAGATTCCATCCTTACCACGTTACATTTACTAGTTATGTCTCCTAAGGCTTCTCTTACCTGTGACATTTGATCAGACATTTTTTCTTTTTGATGGTTGTCAATTGAAGACTACTGGTTAGGTATTTTGTAGAATGTGTGATTTTTTTTTTTTAACTCATTATAAGCTGGGCTTATGTGTTTTCGGGAGGAAGACCACAGAGGTAAAGTGCCTCTTGATGTTAATCTCGATCACTTTGTTGAGGTAGTATTAGGTTATTTACTGTAGAATACTCCCATCCTCTTCACACTGTACTATTTACTCTTTGGAAAGAATTTGCTACACACAGCCCACCCTTAAGAAGTTATGCTCTGCCTCCTTGAGATGCCTCTACATGCATCTTTGGAATTCTTCTGCATGGAAGATTTATTTCTTCATGCAGAAGAAATAATATTTATTGACTTATTCAACCATTTATTTCATTACGGACTTGGGGATTTTTATGTGATACGTTTGTTACATCAAAACCAACCTACTTTGTCATTCCATTGTTTCAACTCCACATTTGGAGATCTTGTGTCCCTCTGATGTACTCTTCTGTCACCGTCACCATCATTTCTTCCTCCTCCAACTCCTCTTCCTTAACACTTTTTAGCACTATAAAATGCATATCATGTATATTTTCTGCTCAATTTCTAGAATAATCATCCATTTTTTTCCAAGGAATCCTATTTCCTTTTTATGGAGAATGGCATTAGAATCTAAGACTTTTTAGTATGTATATCTTAGCAATCATAAAATGGTAGTGTTTAGTTAATTATAGGTGAAATTAACTGCAGATAACTTTGTGTTACTTTTTAACTGACCATGGTTTGGCTTTCTGGAATGAGGGGTTTGGTAATATAGTTTTGAAAGTTGTCATTCTCAAATGTTTTTGAAGATGGTTAACTTCCAGACTTTGAGTTTTCTATATAGCCTCATTGTTTATCCCACCTGAGCCTCAACATTTTATAAACTCCTTGAGTAGCAGCCTTTTCACAGAAGTGCAGGAAACACAATGGCCTTGAAAAAGCAATCCACTTTCATTAACAATATTACATCAAATTGTATAGGTTTTTTGCAACTAGTGCTATACAGTAGCACTCCCTGGAAAAGCATAGTAGCTATATATAAAAGCTTTTTCTATTAAGAATTTTGCATTCAAATAAGATTTTTTTGTCTTTGTATCAGTAAAGCTGAACAGCAAATTGAATGGAGAACAGAGCTACCCTAGATATCTTGAACTTTTACTTAAATTCAATTGGAATTCTATTCCTATTACTTTTAATATAGTAAGTGTATTTCTGAAAAATGGAGCACAAATTCATATTTTGAAAGTTGAATCCTTTTTTCCTGAGTGACATTGTTGTAGAGCGCTTTCTCTTTGCTTCCATTGCTCTTCACTTGGCAGTCGAACTTCTTTAATTCCATTTAAAAAACTTAAAAAAGTCTTTTATGTAGAACTTTTAATAACACAAAATATTTAAATTAATTTTTAATTTTTAAAATTAGGGTTTTTTTCTATAATTTTTTTTATTGTTGGTTGTTCAAAACATTACATAGTTCTTGATATATCATATTTCACACTTTGATTCAAGTGGGTTATGAACTCCCATTTTTACCCCATATACAGATTGCAGAATCACATCAGTTACACTTCCGTTGATTTACATATTGACATACTCATGTCTGTTGTATTCTGCTGCCTTTCCTATCCTCGACTATCCCCCCTCCCCTCCCCTCCCCTCCTCTCTCTCTACCCATCAACTGTAATTCATTTCTCTCCCTTGTTTTTTTTCCCTTTCCCCTTACTTCCTCTTGTATGTAATTTTGTATAACCCTGAGGGTCTCCTTCCATTTCCATGCAATTTCCCTTCTCTCTCCCTTTCCCTCCCACCTCTAAATTAGGTTTTTAAAAACTAGAACATATTTTTGAAGTTTGCCAGTTAGTGAAATTAAGAATCTAGGGAAATTGTGTCTAGGTTATTTATTCACTCATTGAAAAATACAATCATAAAATACAATATTTTAAAATTCAAATGTATATCTCCATTTATTTATGTTGTAATTTGTATACCATTGGGTTTTAATTAAAATAAGTTTCTCAAGAGAGGATGATTGCGCTGGGTGCGGTATTTTGCATGCCTGTAATCCCAGCAGCTCGGGAGGCTGAGACAGGAGGATAGCAAGTTCAAATCCAGCCTCAGCAATGGTGAGGCACTAAGCAGCTCAGTTGAAACCCTGTCTCTAAATAAAATACAAAATAGGACTGGGGATGTGGCTCAGTTGCTGAATGCTTCTGAGTTTAATCCCTAATTCTTTTCCCCCTGACCCCCCCAAAAGAGGGTTATTGCAAGATGAGTTAGAAGTCAGACTATATAGTATTACCTTTCCTTTGTGAAGCCTGTGATATGGCCCTTAACTGGTCTACAATTCAGAATTAAATATTAAAAATGTAATTGAATTCTTTTATGTCTTTATTTTAAATATTTCCTTGTATATGTATAATAAATGGAATAGTATTTTGGGTTTTGTTCATAACCATCTGCCTTGTCTTGAAATATTTCATAGGCTTAAACTAGGCATATGCAATTATCTCTTCAAAATTTGTATAATCTTATGTATATTTTCTTTGTGACCTAAAGGCGAGATAGTTAAATTATTTATTTCCCAGCTGTGTCCATGAACTCGAATGTTCTGAAAATTTGCAGATCTATTCAGAATTAGTTAAGTCTCATAGTGAAGATGTTAGTAGGCAGTGAACAGTGCTATCACACATGATAATATTGAGAGAAGAAATGATTGAGGGCTGGGGTTATAGCTCAGTGGAGAGTGCTTATCTAGCATGTGTGAGGCACTGGGTTCAATTCTCAGCACCACATATAAATAAATAAAATTAAGAAATGATTGAAATTTTATTAAATGATCAACACTTATTGATGATTATTACTATGACATCCAGTGCCAGTACTTTTAAGAATCTAGGAGCTGGGCCAGGCATGGTGGTGCATGCCTGTAATCCCAGGGGTTCGGGAGGCTGAGACAGGAGGATTGCAAATTCAAAGCCAGCTTCTGCAAAAGTGAGGCACTAAGCAACTCAGTGAGACCTTGTCTCTAAATAAATACAAAATAGGACTTTCAGAAAGGAAGGATGTGGCTCAGTGGTCGAGTGCCCCTGGTACAAAAGAAAAAAAAATCTAGGAATTGGAAAAAACAAAACAAAAAATAAACCTTAGCCAGATAAAGGATATTCTTTATCAAAACTTCACAATAAGCCTTATTTTTTTTCTTTTTTGGTACCAGGGATTGGACTCAAGGGTGCCTAACCCACTGAGTCATATCCCCAGCCCTTTTGTATATTTTATTACAGACAGGGTCTCACTGAGTTGCTTAGTGCCTCGCTAAGTTGCTGAGCTAGGTTTGAATTTGCAACCCCCCTGCCTCAGCCTTCCCAGTCATTGGGATTACAGGTGTGCACCACCATGCCCGGAAGCCTGATGTTTAATGGTGAAGTGTTAGAAGCATTTTTATTAAGCTTGGGAACATGTTGCTTACTATCACAACATTTAATTAGTATTTTTTCTGGACTTTTTAGCCAGTAAAATAAGAAAA